GCGAGACGGCGAGGCCACGTGTGCAGGGCCTACTTATTTCCCAGCAGCGCCACCGCCCGCCGCGGGGCATTTCGGCGCTGCAGACGCTCTCTCCCACTCCCTTCCCGCCTGAGCACCTTGTTGATCAGATCTGGATCCCCGGCCCTGCTGCCCAGGGCCCAGGTAATCAACCAGCGACCAGCGGGGCCCGAGATGTAGGGACGCGGGTCGGGGATTGGCCAGGGGCACGGTTCCCTGTCTCAGGGGTGAATGCAGGGGCCCGCGTTCTCGGTCTGAGGGATGAATGCACAGGCTGCAGGCCTGCAGTGCAGGGTAAAAGTAGGTGGCACGCGATGCGGTTTTCCGGGGTGAAAGCAGAGGAATGCAGGCCGGAGACGCGGGGATCCTAGTGAGGCGCGGGTCGGGGCTGCGGGTGCCTGGGGATCCTTGAAGTTAATGCAGCTGGGAGCGTGGGGGGTCTCAGAGGTGAATGCAGGGGGCGCAGGCCAGGGCCTGTGTGCTGGGCGCCCTGGGCCACGGTGACCCGGACGCGTCCCCTCCACCTGTGACTGTGGGCCCCACGCGCTGCACCCACCTCTGCCGCTGCCCGCGTGGGGGCCCTGTGTTAGCCCACGTGGGGCCCTGTGTTAGCCCGCCCCCCGCCTGCGGCCGCACGTCTGCCGGGTGCTCGCAGCGCAGACGCTCTGAGCCCCTGTGGCGCGGCGGGCTTACCTCCGGTCACCTCCCCACCGGGTCCGGTTGGTTGGTGCTGTGAGCGCCGCCCGGAGCCTCCGCTGGCTCCCCGGGCTCAGGGTTCCTCCTTGCGCCTGAGGACGACAAAGACCCCGTGTTGGGTTACAGCTCGGCCTGTTGCGCGCGCCACTCTGACCTGGGGCGGAGCTTAGCCATCTCCCGCCAGGGTCCTGCCCCCACCCCCAGATTGTTCTTTTGCGCCTGGAGCTCTGAGGCTTGCCCTGGAGAAAAGCCAGCCGAGTAGCCCAGGTGCACACTGTGTGGTCATGCAGCAGGGTGCCGGCCCCAGCCTGCTGGTCTCAGGATTCAGGTTAGAATGTGAGCCGGTTCAGAAATCCAGCATGCATCTAAAGGAAGCTATTTTCCAGGCTGCCCAAAGTGCAGGAGGAATAAAGTTCATGAAGCTGCGTTTTGGGCACTGTGCCAAGAAGTGACCAGGTGCCCCTTGCCCCTAAGGAAACTGGAAGGCCCCCTGCAACCCAGATTGAATCTGCAGAACCAGGAACCTCTGGCCCAGCAGAATTGCCTCTCTCTGTAGGTCTGTCTGGGAGCCTTGCACCCACGCCCCAGGGGTGCAGTCAGCCTGCCGTCTCTGTTGCACTGCATCCCTCTGCCTTTTGCCCTCTCACGTTGGCATTGCTAATTGCTCTTTCGGAGGGTGCCTTGGTGGATTTAATAGCCCCAAATACTACAGTTATCTGTGTTGGGCAAAGGTGACCAACACCTCCAGGGTGTTTTAAACTTGTGAGTTGGGTGTCTATAGCAGTGGTGGTCAGTGGATTTAATTTTACTCATTGGAGTACAGAATTCTGTCATGTGACCTGGGGGAGGGGGTGAACTGAGAGGTGCCCTGGAGCTGGAATGGAGTCCCTGGTGGTATATATACCCCGAGGTGGGTCACTCTGCCTGTGGAACACCCTGTGACCTGGGGCTGCCTTCTCCATTGAAGGGGCCAAGACCCTCCCAGCTGTTCGTGCAAGCTCCAGCAGGACTGGAAAAGCATGGCCTGTGTGCTCTTTCCTGGGTGCTGGGGGAGGGGACTAAGTTCGAGCTCCCCTGCCTGGCTGATTGTTTCATTGGCCCCTTGAAATGGTTGGGAGGGGGCTCTCCCAGGACCCTGTAACTCCCAGGCCACTGTTGCCCCCATCGCCCCTTCCCTTTGAAATTCTCTGTAATTCTGGAAGCTGCCCCTTGCCTATGCCCTGCCTTTCCTTGTGGCCCCACAAACCCACCAGGCCCAGCTTCTTGAAGTGTTTCACTACCCTCCCCCCACCTCATTTTCCCTGAGTCAGGAAATAAGCACTGGGGCTTAGACGGCAAAGGAATCTCAGTCATCTGACCACAGTTGCCTTTGCTGAGGCTTTAGGCCTTCACAGAGTAATCAGAGATCTGGTGAGAGGTCGCTGTCTGCCCTTGGTGGCACCTAGGGGTCTCTGTGGTCACCTGGTTTTCCGGGGCCTCATCCAGGGAAGAGTGTGGAGACACTTCCTGCTTAGGTGGTCTCTGAGCAGCATGCTGGCCGAGCCCACGGGGAACAAGTGCCCAGAACCTGGTGGCTTTTCCAGTGCACCAGGTCCTACATCTTGAGAACTTTTTGTGTCCACTGCTTGGGGATTGGAGGAGATTTCTCCCCAAATGCAGACCCTCTATAGTCACCTTCCCAGAACCGGTTGGGCAGTAAGGGGCACAGAGCTGTCCCAACTATCTCAGCTCAGCACCCCCCTACACCCCCAAGGCTTCCTCACGCCTCTGGAGCCACAGAACAGGTGGCCACTTACTCATTCTCACGGTGTCTGCTTGGCCTGGGCACCCTTCTTGGCCTGACAGTTTTCATGGTAGCTCTCTTTTTGACTCTCACTTCAAAGTGAAGTTTGTCTGAGTGCCTTAATGGAAAACTATCATGTAGCATATAGAGAAGTAGCAATAAAAATAAACAGCAGATAACTCTGTATTCAGATAATTAGACATGACTATCTGCCTATCTAGCTATAAAGGGCACTTGGTGGACATAGGAATGGTGCCGTCACTCCTGACCAAATTGAGGTGCCACCCAAAGTGCCCCTGGGCGAGACCAGCCTCCCTCAGCTCATGTTGGTCTGGAGCTCTGTCCGTCCCCTGTGGCGCCTTCCCTTCAGATTGTACTCCTCTCTGGCTCCTGCTTCTCCCTTTGCCTCCCTACCTGCTCTGGGCTTTATCTCCAAACCCCATCTGCCCAGTCTTGTGCATGGAGTCCTCCCAGAGGCCAGTGGGACAGTGAGAGCAGGCTGTCCCTGAGACCTCTCCTGGGGATGGACTTGTGCCCAGCCCAGCAGCCACAGCCACCTGCTGTGAGCACTTGACATGAGTGGTGTGTTTGGGAAACTGGATTTTAAATTGCACTTACTTTTAGTTAACATTTAAGGATCCCCATAAGGCTAGTTGTTACCATATGGGACCAGGAAGCCCCGAAGACTCCCTGGAAGGGGTGATAGCTCCGTCTGGGTGGATGTGGCATCCAGATGAGCCCCATCCAGATTGAGAGCATGGGGCTGGGGACTATGGGCTCCTCTCCCCAACTCCATGTGGATGTGGGACCCTGACTTAGTGAGAAGGGGAAGGCAGCCCTTCATCCAAGTTCTGGGGAGGATGGGAAGTGCCTGCGGGCTGCTGAGTTGCCCTGACTCTCTGTTCTTCCCTCCAGGGGCAGCATCACCTTCTGTCCCTCTAGGGCCGTGTGGGCCCAGGCAGCATGGCACCCTCTGGCCAGTTGGTGAAGAAGCCAGTGTCCCTGGAACCCCAGCCAGAGCCTGGGCTGGAGCCTGGACCCGGCCACAAGCTTCAGTCCTGGCAGTTGCTGGTGTGCTACCTCTGCTTCTATGGCTTCATGGCCCAGATACGGCCCGGGGAGAGCTTCATCACCCCCTACCTCCTGGGCCCTGACAAGGACTTCACGCGGAAACAGGCATGTGGGCTTGGTGCAGGCAGGACGGGCCTGTGGACACGGGGGATAGTGGGCAGGGGTGCCGCCTGGAAGGGGAAGCAGCTGAGGCTGTTGAGGTTAGGTGGCCATGTGGTATCCTGGGTCCTGTTCCCAGTCCCTTAGGGAGCACTAAGGAGCCTGACTCTCACTTATTAACCAGGCCAGTTAAAGAGTGACAGTGGCCGCAGAGGGGGTGCGAGGCTGCTGCGGATCTGAGGGAGGCGTGCAGGGGGCGAGAGTATGCCCACCTGCCTGGCACCTGCTTCCAGGAGACTCAGCAGCTCTTTGCTTAAAGAAATGACTGAAGGAATTTTCCTTTACGCAGCCAGGACAGAGGATCTTGCTGAAATCTGACTAGTAAGCTTACACCGGAGTTGAGTCGTGGTGGTAGGAGGATGAGGCAGGACGGGCTCCAGCCCTAGTGCTTTCCTTCTCCAGCCTTTGCTATTTCCTTCTCCATAAAATAAAACAAAGAAACTCAGAGGCTGTTGGTTGATGAAGCACATAGTCAAGGTGCCCTTCTGAGCTCTGCTCACCACCCCCTCGTCCACTTGAGGACCCCCGGAGCTGGTGCCGGTAAGAGCTGGTCCCAGGCTGCTCACCTCCGTTCCCCCAGCCTCCTCTGCCCTTTCCATGTGGCCACTGGCCTCTGCACCCATGTCACCATAGCTGGACCCTCCTGGGTCCCACTGTGCCCTTGATTTTTTCAAAAAACCCCTGCCTCTCCCTGGCCTGGAACTCTACCCTTACCCCTTTCACATTTTCATGTGAAAATGAGGCCTATCCCCTCTAAGTAGCCACCTTGGAAAGATGGAAATGGCCACATGCTAGCTCACATGAACTCAGAGCCCTGCCTGTCTGTCACTGTGTCTAATCCCATGGCCAGTGCTGACTCCTGGAGCTGGTTACTTCCCAGGTGAGGCTGGGTAGTAGGGCTGGGGCCTGTGGGGCTGTCTCCTGTACCCCCCAGACCCTCTGGCACTCCTCTGAGTAACCAGTCCCTCACTCACTGGTCATCCGGAGGGCCCGCCTTCCTTAGAACATTGATCAGATCTTAAAGAGGGAGCCATCGCCTGCTGTGATTACAGGGATCATGTATACAAAGCTCTATTAATAGAACAGGAAAAATCTCTGTAGCAAAAAATTATATGTCCCATTCACCTGCCCTCTCAGTTTGCATATTAACCGATTATATAGTAGATTTCAGAAATTAAGCTATTCCACCAAGCTTGTATGTCATCAGAGGGGCGACAGGCTGTTGTCTGGGAAGTACATGTGAGCCAGGCCTGCTGGGCCTGGCTTGGGAGAGTTACCCACATGCGTCAGAGACTGTCTTACCAAAGGCACACCCTAGGGGATTAAACCACAGAGCTGCCCAGTGCCTCTGCTCTCAGTTTGTCACCCTTGAGGCACAATGCTGCAGTTTCCTGGGCACTGATACCTGCTCCCTCTGCCCGTGGCTACAGCTTCCAGTTTCCCTCTTGCCCCTGTTGATGGCTGCTAGCTTTGATTCAATTGCTATGGAGTATTTCGTGGCTGTCCCTGTGCCATGCCTCCCTCCCTTTCCTATGGGCTGTCTGCTTCTGCCTTGGAGGATCCCCAGCCCTTTCTTGTAGGTCACATCTTTTTACCTGATGGCTGGTGCCTTTCCTGTGCTTATGGTGTCCTTTTATGCTTTAGCTTCCAGTGTTTGTGCAGCTAGGTTTTCTCTCGCTATGCTGTAAGCATTGCCTTACATGCCCTCCCCTCCCTGATGTAAGCAGCCTTCAGTTCCTCAGTATCTGAGCTGTCAGGGTCAAGTCCTGTAGCCCCGCTCTCAAGGGGACCCCCTGCAAAAACCATTCATAGGGCAGTTTTTCCTGACTCATGGCCAATACTCCCATCACTCAGAGTCCTCAACTGGGTCCCTGCCCTGTCCCTGCCCTCTGGTCAGGGGGACTCAGCTCCTGTATCCAGGTGCTGACAGGTATCAGCTTTTGATGCCTCCCCTCTTGGATTTCAGTTTACCTGTGGCCTGGCCCTGCCCCCACCATCCCACTGGTCCTCAAAATCCACCATCCCCTGTCTCTCCTGCCAGCCACACAGCCCTGGCTTCCACCCCCAGCTTGTCCTGGCTGCCTTGGGACTCCAGCCTAGCCCCCCTGTTTCAGAGAAGCCACTGCCCTCAAGCCCTCTGGATTCAGATCTGGGCACAGTGCCTGAGCCCTGCCTGTCCCAGGTTGTCCAAACAATAATTTGCTGGGAATGCATCTGGGAGACACTGGGCTCAGGCCAGTAGGAGGCTGACTTCTTGCTGGTTCTGGGTCTCTTGACAGACGCCATCTGCCCCAGGGACTTTGTGGTCTCCCAGGCCCATGGCCCCTTGGTGAACGATGTCCTCTGCAGGAGAGGGGGTGAGGGGAGAGAAGAGCGGAAAGACCAGCAGGTCCTCTTCTCTGACCCCACCCCACCCCTTGGGTTCTGACAGCAAGCTGCTACCCCAGGCTGAGCAAGTCTTCTGCCAATAGGTCTCATCAGGAGGGACTGTTTGATGTTCCCAGAATTTTCCATAAACACATCTACATCCCTGTAGCTGGGCTGTGATGACTCTCAATGACCAAGCACAAGTTATTCAGCTTCCCCCAGGGTACTGACTTGCACCACTAATATCCAGGAATGTCCTGGGGGGCCTTCTTTGCTCAAGTGTTTTGGGGACCACAGCCTTGGGGGTCAGCCTTGGCTTCCCATGGGCATGTGGGTTCAGGAGGCTGCCAGGCAGGGAGCTTTGATCAGAGTCTCCTGACAGCCTCCCTCTGAGCTCCTGGAGGCTTGTCAGTGTGTGTGTCCAGCGCAACGGACTTGGATGCGCTGCTCCAGCTGGCTTGTCAGCAGCACATTTGGGTGGGCAGATGCCAGGGCTGTGGGTAAACCAGCTGAAGTGAATGGGTCCAACCAGCCTCCCACCGGGCCCTGCGTGCTGACTGGGGCTCTACTCCAGCCCTTGGTTTCCATCTGTAAAGTGGGGCCTCGGAGCCTGTAGGCCTCTCGGGGCCGAGGGCCGCCTGTGCTGGTGTTAGACAGTTATGCTTATGGTGTGGTTCTGGTGGGGGGCTACCAAAGGGCCTCAGTGGCTGTGTTGCCGAGCTGCGTGGAGTGACAAACCTGCTGTCGCACAGGTCACCAATGAGATCACGCCGGTGCTGTCCTACTCTTACCTGGCGGTGCTGATACCCATCTTCATGCTGACAGACTACCTGCGTTACAAGCCGGTGCTGCTCCTGCAGAGCCTGAGCTATATCTGTGTGTGGCTGCTGCTGCTGTTTGGCTGCTCCGTGCTGCACATGCAGTTCATGGAGTTCTTCTACAGCCTCACCATGGCCGCCCGCATAGCCTACTCCTCCTACATCTTCTCCCTCGTGCGCCCCACGCACTACCAGCGCATGGCCAGCTACTCGAGGGCCGCGGTGCTGCTGGGCGTCTTCACCAGCTCCGTGCTGGGCCAGCTGCTCGTCACCGTGGGCATGGTCTCCTTCACCACGCTCAACTACATCTCGCTGGCCTTCCTCACCTTCAGCCTGGTCCTCACGATGTTCCTGAAGCGCCCCAAGCGCAGCCTCTTTTTCAACCGCAGCGAGCCTGCACACGGCGGGGCCTCGCCCTCCGAGCTGGACCAGATGCACCCCGGCCCCGGCTGGCCCAAGGACAAGAAGCGCAGCCAGACGCTGCTGTCGGGCTGCTCGGACTGGATCCTTGTGCGCATGCTCCGGGAGGTAGGGGACAACCTGCGGCTGCCACAGCTGCGCCTCTGGTGTCTCTGGTGGATCTTTAACTCGGCAGGCTACTACCTGATCGTCTTCTACGTGCACATCCTGTGGAACGTGGTCGACTCCACCAAAGACACCACCAGGGTCTACAACGGTGGGGTAGATGCCGCCTCCACTCTGCTCGGTATGCCCAGTGGCCCCGCCTGCCCTGCCTGCCCTGCCTGTCCTGTCCACCCCAGGAGGACGGCAGTGACTGTCCTGTCTCCCCAGGTGCCTTCACCTCCTTTGCTGCGGGCTTTGTGAAGATCCACTGGGCCCTGTGGGCGAAGCTGGTCATCGGAGGCGTGACGGCGATGCAGGCTGGGCTGGTCTTCCTCATGTATAAGACGAGCAGCATCTGGCTGTGCTATGTGGCCTTCGTGCTCTTCCGTGGTTTACACCAGTTCCTGGTGCCCATTGCCACGTGAGTTGGACTGTGTGGGATAGATGAGAGGCCGCTGGCCCAGGCAGCCACTAAAAGGCCAGGGCCCAGGCCCTGGTGGACAGGAGGCCACTGGAGGGCCATGCACCTTCCTCCTTCAGGGTGGGTACTGATGGGCCATCTGTGTTATTAAGAGGCCTCCCTTCTAGAATGTTCTGTGGGGAGTAGAAGGGGTATGTGCTGAGCAGTGTGAAACAGGTTTGGTGGTGGGAGGAGCCAGGGGCCCAGTTTTCCTCTTGTCCATAGCATGCCTGTCCTAGCTGCCTGCCATGACCCTGAGACTCAGCAAGGAGCCCTCCTGTGTGGCATATTCTGTGCTCCTCCCTCCAAGGCTACTTGGTGTCCACAGGGACTGGTCCTCGTGAAGCTTTTCCTCCCAGCCTCCCTACTCCATCTCCCAGGCCTCAAATGCTTCTTGGGTAGCCCCATGGCCTTTTTTACCCTCTTGTTCCCACGGTGAGGAACAGTGGTTCCTGGCCAAGGACTGACCAGGTGTTCCAGCTTACCTTCTGTCCAGGGCTCTCCTGATGCCCTCATGTTCCTCATAACCCGGGGGACCCTCCTGTACCTGCCCAGGAACATCCTGCCCACCAGCTCCCCTATACTTCCAGAACCTTCCCCTGCCCATGTTCTGCTTGCTTCTCTGACCCTCTGTGCTCCTTTGAACTAACCTTTCACAAAGCCGCTCGCTCACACCACACAGGCACACAGGAGACTGCCTCCCTGTGCCTCCTGCACCTAGTGGGTGTGTCTGTCACTGTAGTCCCCCTCTAGCCCCCAAAGTAGGGCACCTCCAGTCCTGTTCTCCTTCTAGTCACACCCATGTCAGAACATCTGTTCCCACGTTGTCTTGAACTCACACAGTATCCTCAGTCTCCTGACCCACTGCAGTCCCCTCTCCATGGAGTGGGGGCGTGACTCCCCTGTGCCATCTCACAGAAGTGCCCAGCACCCACACTGCCCTATCCACTTTGGGCCTGCTCCTGCCCTGGGCTCTGAGAGCCTGAATCAGACCCAGTGTCCTTGTCCTGTTCCTGAGGGCCAAGTGCTGTCAGACACCCTGACCACACTCCTGGCAGAAGACACCCTTCTCATTTAGCTGTCCAAAATACAGGTGTAATTGGTCCTCTTGGTGACAAGTGACATGCTGCATAGCTAATCCCCAACTGATGGGAAGGCGTCTTCAGTATTTTGCTGTGACAGGCAACACTGAAATCAATATCCTCTCAACCTGCATTTTTCTTTCCAAATTCTGATAGTGGTCTCAGATGTTCCTAGAAAGGTACTGGCCAGGTCAAAGGGCATGTACTTTAGTGAGGGGGTGTTGGTGGATACTGCAGATGCCTGCCGGGCAAGCCGCTCTCCTGTGACCTGAAGGCCAGCTTGCGTTTTCTTAGTGCGGCAGGGCTGGCTCCTCCCTGGTGTTAGCGGCCACTTCATATCTGTGGACTCCTTCTGCTGGGACTTTTTTTTTCCTTATTTACCTGGAGTACACTTGCATCTACATATGTGACAGGTATGCTATGCTTTGCCTTTAATCCTACTTATGGAGCTCATGGTGTGCGGTGTGAAACGCATGCAAATGGCGCGGTGTGATGATGGCATGGCATTTGCTATGCTGGCGGGACCTGGCCCAGCTCCGGGTTCCCAGGAGTTCATATGTCAGACCTTCGATTGACAAGGTCTTTTCTCAGTTTACCTGCAGCCTTTGTCACGTGATCGCTCATTCTGGCGCTTCATGTATTTCTTGCTCCTCAGACCCCTGTGCAGCAGAAGGCCCTTGGCCTCGGTCATTCTCTTTAAAGTCTTGCTGGGTATTTTTGTTTGTTAATTCTTCAGAAGTTTAGAATATTTCTTGTCTAGTCATTATTTTTAAAGGCACTTTGGGGATTTTAATTGGAAGGACGTTCAAATGTCAATTTCTTTCCAGAGGATTGGGAGCTCTGAGCATATTAATTCCTTCTCTCCTTATTTGTTTAACTATTCTTTCTCTAGTTTATTGAATCATTTAATGACTTTGAAGTCATTAAAGACTTTAATATCATTAAAGACTTTTTAATTCCGGAATTTTCTTCATGACACTCTCTCATTCTCCTGAGGATGATTTTCTGAGAACGCTGTGTTGAATGAGTTACCCTGGGCCAGGATTACCAGGAAGCTTTTAAAATGTTTTCCCGAGGTTGCATTCGGCACTGATTTGCAATCATTTTATGAGTTATTGAGGGAGGATTCGGTGGGCAGCCTAGGTGCTGGTCTCTAGTGGTTTTAGCAGACAGTCATCAGACCACATGGCTATTTCTGGCAGCCAGTGGCAGCCCAGGTTTCCCGTTTGTACTTGTGGGCACTTCTTGTCCCTCCCAGCCAAGGCTGATCCTGGCCTGCTTTCCCTTTAAGTTTTCAGATCGCATCTTCTCTCTCTAAGGAGCTCTGTGCCCTGGTCTTCGGAATCAACACGTTCTTCTCCACTGTTCTCAAGACCATCATCACCCTCATTGTTTCTGACAAGCGGGGCCTGGGCCTCGCAGTCCAGTCACAGGTGAGCTCCTGTGTTGGGTTAACTTCCTTGGGGAGGGGAACTCTCAGGTATGTCTGGGCCAGGCCCTCCTGGTCCTCACCCAACCAGCAGCATCCTGCCCTCCATGGGACCCAGACCACAGATCTACGGAGGCAGGGGGCATACACAGGGTGATTTGGGCATCTCCAGCTGGATACACTGGACTTACTGAGTCAGAGCAGGAGCATGAAGTGAGAGACCCTGAGCAGGGAGGGAAGGATCAGAGGACTGGTGCCAGGAAGCCATGATGTGGCAGCTGCTGTGCTGGCCTGTACTCCTCCTTCCTAAGGCCCAGGTTGGAGCTGTAATGCTGCCCCAACTCCAGTTGGAACTGCGGGGCCTCTTAGTTGAGTTTGGATGCAGGTCATTTCTGGAGGTCTTCCTGGCCCTGGGCACCCCCCATGATGGGCTGATGTCACAGGAAGGATGGAAGTGTGATGTGGGCCGTTTCTCTGCGCTGTCACAGCTTACCACTTTCATGTCAGGTCTCTGACTGTGATGTCAAGGCCGTTAGGCCAGGACCCTGGTTCACATGACAGCTATTTGTTTCTTTACAGAGAGCAGATGAAAGTAGAGCCAGTGGGGTTGACATGCATGCTGGCCTCTCTTTAGTACCCCTCCCTTTGTCCAGTCCTAGGCAGGTTCTCAGAAGAGCTTGAGAATGCCTGTCCTCTGTAAGGTGGGGGCACTCCCATCTGTGACTCTGTGTCTGCTGTGAGGTGGAAAACACTCACCTGTGACTCCTGGTGTCCTCAGCCAAGGCAGGACCTCTCTGAGCAAGCTGGAATTAACCAGAGGACGGGCTAGCAGGACGGTTGTAACTGGGATTTTCAGTAACTGGCCTGCAGGGATGCAGCCTCCACCTGCTTGGAGCCAGAGCCTCACTGGATGGCAGGTGTGTTGGGCTCGGTGGGCTCCATGAGATGTCCTGACCCTCTGTCTGAGGGTGCTGGGTCAGCACGGCCTCAGTGACCCCATAGCTGGCCAGGAAGGAGATGCAGGCAGGACAGACCCTCCTGTTTGGAAATGGGCTTTTTGGAAATGCCGTTTAGGGGAAGAACATCAGAGCTTCTCACCCTTCATGTCTACACAGGCAGTTGGGTTTCGGCCCTGCTTCTGCAGGGCCCTCCAGGCACACTGCCCATCTCCCAGCCCCCTAGGCTGAACGCTGTGCACTGTCTACCCTGAAAAGGGTTGGCAAAGCCCCCCATGGTCGGGCTGGACCTAGGTCCACAGGTGCGTGTGCAGCTGTGAGTGGTGAGAGGGGCTGTATGCGTGGCATAGGCCCAGGGATGGGTAGGTCAAGGGTCTCCTTCGCTGATGCTGCTCCCTGCTGTCTAGGGGAGGCCTCCCTTCAGAAGGGGCACCTCTGCAGGGGCAGCATCCTTGGTTCCAGGCCTTTTCATGGAGCCTTGCCTGGCAGCTGTTCAGCTGGCCTGGGAGGGACTCTAGCACCTGGAGGATCCCCTCCCCCTCCTGGGAGCACCCAGCTGTCCCTTCTTAGCAGTGGGGCTTCTGAAGGGCCCATGGCTGGGTGGGAAGGGCCTGGAGAGTCTTCCCCAAAGGCTGGGCCTTTCTCAATTGTCCTTGTCCCAGCTTCTCCCACTTGGCAGCTCTATGTTGGGCCAGATCAAGAATAAGACATTGATTTAATTCATTCTGAGTTAAAAAGTAACTCTAGAAATGGGGCAGTTTGTTCATAATTAGAAATGCTGATGCAGTCCAGGAAGACAGTCCTTCCAACTGACCCTGTTCTCCTTTCCTACTCACTGCTCTTTGTGTCCCTTTCGCTTCATCCTGAGCGGTGAGAGTGGCAGTTGTTCAGGCTTAGGGGGCAGAGCACATGGGCCGATGGCCTGGAGCTGGCCTGGGTGTGCTTGTTTTTTAAAGTAAGCTTTTTAGTTTTGGATAACTGTTCACTCAGTTGCATTGTAAGAGGTAATACAGAGATCCATGTCCCTCATTTCCAGTTTCCCCACGAATCACATCCTGCGGTTCTCCAGTGCAATCTCACTACCAGAATATTGACCTTTTAAGTTCAAGAAAGAGAAGCTTCCCC